GAAAACATGTCTAAGTTCAGCAGTCAGAAATCACCAAATGTCAAGAATTGAGTGGCAGAAAACATTTTGAGCGAGAATGGTTCTGTCTGTGTTCATTTTCATAACAACAGTACATAAAGCAGGTGTCGTCTGAGACATCTGTCAGTTAAATAAATAACCGTTATCCCTGATATGTGCATCGAAGTGTCTCGAGAGCCTCTTCTAGGGCTGTTTTGAATAACTTCGCGTCCAACAACTACTTCACTTGCTTGTGTTACCCACATGTGCTTTCGAAAAATTTCACAGTAGCCATTACATTATTGTAAATCTTGGTGATCTTGGCCGGAACCAGTCTTTTCTCATTGCCGGTGTTAAATTATGGCGGTACCGTTTTTTTTTTCAAATGATGTGGCGTTTAGCCAATCGGACGAAGCGCTATTATTGCCCATCTCTTATTGGCCATTTTCGAGAAGGAGATGCTCTCATTCTGCAGGTGTTTCGTTTCTGTCATGACCACCAACTGATGTCATTGTTCATTTCGCTGTTGAGTGTCCAGACAAATCTTCTGCCTTGGCCAGAGCGCAGTATCTTACCCAACATTCGCAAGTCTCTGACTTGAAGTTATTCTAACTTACACAGCCCAACGCGCCAAATCAACGTGAGGCTAATTCCTTGCTCAACGGAATTCGCCGTAGAGTGAACGGCAGGCGAATTGGTGTTCGCTACCTTCGCGGATTAGAGTTAACCATTAAGCCTTATGAGACCACGCTACAGTACAGTAAGTTCAGGCCTCAGTCTTCATTCGCTGCGCTAATCGAATGATGATGCGGTTATGCATTCACAATAGAATGTGCTACAGTACGACTGAACAGTCCCCCTAATGTTTTAGAAGAAACGGGACTGTGCCACTGAGATAAGAGATTGCTAACGGGAGGCTCTAACAACAAGGATCAGCAAACAGAATTGAATCCATTCGTACTTCATTTAGTGCCAACGGCGTTACACAAGAAAGCGTTCTTTCACCTCCTTCTAGTCACCGGTCTCGGCTCCATGGCATTTAAACTACAGCCATGCATCTCTGAGTAAAACTGAACAACGGCTTTTTCAGATACACAAGAGTTTACTGCAATCCATAGGCAAAAATAGAAAAATCGAATGACATATTTTCGGAATGTCATTTTTCAATAGACGTCCATAACCATTTGTTTTGTGAAAAATAAAAAAATAAAACATAACTTCGATAATCTATAGTAGCTGTCACGAATAGCAGGGTTCGAATTTCGCACTAAAATTTAATGTTCATTTATTGCTGCGGATTTACCTCACAAAAACGTAGCGTTTCTTTTCTTCTTGTTCATTAAATGCAGTATACATAAATGAAATGTTATTTCTCCCGGGGAATTTTCAAAGCTGTCAGTCCGATCCCTATCCCAAAATATCGGAGCGCGCCTTGCTCTCGCTTTTAGCAATCTTAATCCTATTTTCATTGCCATCGACGCCACTTCTGACTTTGTGTACGTTTACTTAGATAAACATTATTTCTTACTGAAAATACGAACAGTAAATACCTTCCATTTCTTCCATCCTGTTACCATTCACTCAAGTGGCTTCACGATGGATGGTGTAAGTCCAGTTGCTTTTTGTCATTCAGATTAATGAGCTTCAGATGAGTACGTTGCTGCCTACCGTAACATTATGCTTGAAAAGAACTTTCTATAAAACCTATAGGCCTTGCTTCATAACTTCCCATAGAGATGAGGTAGATGAGGGATGACGACCCAAAGGCTATTGCTATTGCTTTGTGATTGGCTGTAGTAGGCTCCATTGCCGCTTTGTCGATTTTCATACCAGAATTTCAGAAACGACCTGACACCAACACCCTTCAGAAAGCTTGCATGAAAACGGCCAACGTATCATGAACTTGAACCACACTGTAGTCATCGATCATGCCAATGATCACAGTCGTTGAAATATATCAATGATGAATCGCAAAATTAAACAAAAATTTAATCATATTCCTGTTGGATTGGAAGAGATGCTGAAAAAGATGTCTTGGAAAAAAATTACGAAAACTTTACTGTTGAACATTGTGCGAAAAGCATTAGAACTTATTGGTAACTCAGAAAGTGGACACAATCGAAAATTAACGCAACACAGCATCTACCACCTTGAGCTCGAAGAGAGGCCACGAAAAATTGCCAATCATCTGTTATTTACGGAATGGGAAAAACACTCATGAATGCAGAAAAATGTACAATATGTTTGAAAGTTTAACTATGCATTATCAAAACCGCTTATTATGCGATAGCTCACAAATTCGTGGTTGTCGGTTAATTCGGTAAGAATAACGGTATTCTTTCAAATCTTTGATCCTGACCGAGTAGCGGTATTTTACCTTAGCTTCTTGTAGCTTAGGGGACAATCAACGCATTGAAAGGGTGCAAATACCATGAAGCCGCGGTCTCTACATCACTAGTAGCAATCGATGGTGCAACTTTGCCGTGTAAATTGAAGAAATTAACAGAATGTCAGTAAGGAAAAAATATTTTTAAAGAACACTGAGGCCACTCTGTGCTGGCAGAAAAAATGTTGCATAAAGTAAAATATTTTTACCGAGTTAAATGTCGACTTAATTATTGATTGATTTAAAGCGCTGTCTATACATATCATGCTTCCCATTGATTAAAGAACGATGCATAAATATTTTGAATGTAAAATAACCTATTATTGTGATATATTTTATTGCAACAAAACGCCATCAAACGCAACAGATTTCATCAGGAACAAGCCCGAACGACGCACCGCTTCGGCGGAGCTTTCTGATTGTACCCCACCGAAAGTTAGGCAAAACTCTGGCCGCAACACGCATAAAGTTACTCTCGGCTACCATGTCGGTAAAAGTAATGTACTTTTCATTAATTTCAGTCGTAACAAAACCGTAAACCAACGTTCTCCTTCCAGCTTTGCCAATGACCGGAGATCCCGATGAGCCCTAAAATATAAACTTTTAATAAATGGATTTAATTTTCTTGAATTTTAAATCAGACCAGTCCATAAAGTTAGCACGCCTCTTCAAAAGCGATCCCGTAGTAAACGACGAAGAATGGAACTTTCTGATAGCCACGACAAGAGCCTCTGTTTTGAGTTCCAGTAATGAAGGTCTCGTGATGCGCAGACAAACAGAAGTACTCGGAAACGACAGTCTTCTTGCAGAAGGCGAATGAATATGATATGACCTCTCGTCCCTCTCTTTGATAGAGGATAAATCATTTACAACAGCACTAAGTGAAATAAAAGCCTATACCGGTATATGCTCCCTACCTGCAAAAGCAGTAATGGTCTACCATTGAAAATTTTAAAGTTCCAAAACGTTAAGCATATCACTTCAATTTCCATGCATGTCATTGTTCTTCATTGTGAAGGTCTTTGAAAGATTTACTCTTTAAACGTGTATTATATATGATTTTGCTGATATTCATCAACTCACAGGATCTATGTTCAAACAGCATTTCACATCAGGAGTTTCAAAAACAACGTAAATAAGTGATAACCATGCTTTGAGTTAAGTTTTGCAGCTCACGTATGAATAATCCAACATTAGTAGGAGTGGTAATTGAAACAGAGATTTAAATACATAAACGTCTATTAAATCGATCCTGAAAAATTGCTATGAAGGTTTCGAAAGGGTCGACTGAGAGAAACAGACGGATTTATTTTATGATGAGATAGCAAGTTCTGATTATGCAAGAAGTGCCAGTAAAAAGAACTTTTTGAGAGATACAGGACATGCGACAGTGCAACGAATTCAGTCAAACACGTTGTAGCAGGATGGTTCGTTTTCGGTAAAACACTGATCTCGTTAAACTGTAAGACGACTTCGAAGATACCATGCACAAAAAATGGCCTCTTGAAATACGCATAATCTCAGAAATGACTAGTTTTCACTAACGTCCAGTGAGTGAGAGTATCGAATGGCAATATACAGTATACAGTACTAGAATACTACTACCGTTGATCACAGTCGTCTGGAATTATTGATGGTCGTTCCCAAGACCAAAAAAATTATTTACACTGTTACCCTGAAGAAGAACGAGTAAAAGACATTATGGAGAAAACAAAAATTTACCAAAACATGACTATCTATCTGAAGCAAGTGCATGGGTTCAGCAGTGCGGAAACAGCAGCGATGGTTATTGGCTATGTGTCGTAAAGGATTGATTCAGAAATCAATGAGTCTGAAGCACACAGAAGGGCGCTAAACAGCAGCTCTGTTAGATGGATATAGAATAATGTGAAAAGCTTGAAAAATAAGGAATCTCTTAGAGAGCGCAGCAAATTAGTTATGGCCCTTAGCCCTTCAGTACATGCCATTCAAAACTCCTGTGTGCAAAAAACTGTCTGAATAACAGAATTAATTATAACAATTATAATCAACGCAAATTTTTTCATGGGTAGGCGCGTATATAAAACGAATTGAATATGATATGCATTCAACCTCCACATACCTTTTGTATTTGACCTGACATAGAACTTTGAATCGCACAAATCTGGTTGTGTTGAATGTATAGCGACGCGAATGATCCAAGTTCACGCGAACTGACGGCCTCGAATTCCAACCTTCTGACGATAAGCCTTCCTAAAGAAGTGATTTGATAAAACACAGCTTTCCTTGGTCTGGCTGTTCCCTGATATTACCAGGGCCATCGTCCATGGTGTAGGTTTCAAACCGTGTTCCCGGTGAGAGTATTTGAGCGTCATTCGCATGTGGAATGGCTATAGGTTGTACAGTTGGGCTAAGAGTGATTTTTTCTTTGAAGTGGATCAGGGCTACGTCATTGGTCACGGTGAAAGGTACATATCCTTGCTTTACGATTGCCGCCCAAGGACTGACGACTACGAAACGTTTCACATAGCTATAATCATGGACGCCAAAGACGAGTTTCATTGCTCTCAGATCGATGAACTTATTCCAGTCATCTCTGAAAATAAGTTTGGTTTTATAGTTTGAGCAGTCACATTAATAAACGCTTACGAACATATACTGCGAGTGGGACGACTTTACTTGTAACTGGTTCAAACAACGATTATTCATTATTATGGTGGCAATATCAATTAAATATTTTGGCATTTTGAGATGGTATCGTTGTTCTTACTGGCAAGCGATCTCGAAACTGATTAGAACCTCACAAAGTGCTGAATTTCCTTGAATTCTCTTCAGTGAGCATATTTTTGAGGGATATGGGCGATGGTTCACTCGGGTTGGAACGGTGAATCTACTTTCGAAAAGCGACTTACTAGAAGCTCTCAACAATGTGCAAGATGTCGAAGCATAAACTGGTGCTCCTGAAGCATAAAGTTGGAGTTTGCAAGAAAAAGTCACATTAAGAAAGAATTATCATCATTATTATGAAACATATAATCATTTCTTCAGAGAAAATATTTTCTTCAATAATATAATTTCTCCGCATATTCTCTCTTTTTCGTTATGCAAATAATGTTAGGCAATAAGTACGGGTTGAACGATGAATAGACGC